TCCACCCACCCACACGTGCCCACCCCACCCTCTCACCTTTGACAACCACGCTCATCTGTTCTTGGTTTCCCCAGTGTTGTCATTTCAAGAATGCCAGAGAAGTGGAATCATGCCTTAGACAACTGCTCAGCTTCATTCCCTGCAGATTCAGCCAGGGAACCATCGTGTATGAAAGGGTTGTCCTTTATATGGAGTCCCATCCCAGAGTGTGTCTGTATGCATGTCAGCAGCCTCTTCCCTCTGTCTGCCGGGTCTCATCCTGTCGTCTGGGCCTGCGTGTGTCAGTCGTTGGTCCTCTTTCTGCTGGATCTCATCCTGTCTGGACCTGCATGCATCAGTCGTTGGTCCTTTTACTTGCGAGTCTCATCCATCGTATGCACATGTGTGTATCAGTCATTGTTCCTTGCAGTAAAGGAAGTCATTGCAGTAAAGCTGTTGTCTCACCTCGTCATCTGGACAGGCCATGGCTGGCTCTTATCATTCACCCACTGGGACAAATGGGAGATGTTCACAGTTAGGGGTGACCCCCAATGAAACTGCTGTCGGTATGTTTTTGTAGGTTCTTGTCTGAACACAAATCTTCATTTCTCTCAGAGAAAGGCCTGAGCATGCCATGCTGGGTTTTGAAAACCACTGATCTCTTTTCCAGAATGACCACCACACCATCCTTGCCAGCAGTGCAGGTATCAGCAGCTCCTCCGTGGCCCTGCCAGCTGTTGGAGCTGTTGCCATGGAAGCTGTTCTGATGGGTGTGTGGTGGCGCTGCGGTGCGGTTTAATGCACGTTTCCCCGGTGATTCATGGTTAACATCTCCTGTGCTCAAGCACGTCTGTGCGTGCTCTGTGCTCACGTGAGTCTGCATGAACCTTGTCCGTCTTCTGACTGCACTGTCTAATTGTCACTGTTGAATTCTAGGAGTCTTTACATAGTTTAGATGCTGTTCTTTGCTCAGCAAATGGTTTGTAAATATTAATATTTGAGTTCTCTGAGTCTTGAATCCTAAAGATTCTCTCATCTGACTTCTTTACCCTCTTAAACGTTTGTTAGAATAGCTTTGCATAATAAAGTGAAATTATTTGCCATGACAAAGCAAAGGCATAAACATCCCTTTGTCCAGGCGCGTGATTATTTTCAGATGTTACAGAACTCTGCTTGCTAAGTCTTTGTTAAAGGGGTTTGCTCCTTAGGGAGCTCTGGTGGCCGCATGGCAAGAAGGTATACTGCAATCCCAGAGGTGTGCAGTTCAAATCCACCAGATGCTGTGCTGGAGAAGGAGGGACAATCTCCTCCTGTACCAGTCAGATCTGATTTGACGGTACACACACACACACACACACACACACACACACACACACACACAGAGGTTTTTGCTTCTATTCTCATGAGGGATGTTGACCTATAGTTTTCTTCCTTTTACTGTCTTTGTGTTTGGTATAATAGTAATAATAGCTTTTAAAAATAAATTGAAAATGTTCCTCTCCTATCTTTGAAGGATGTTGTGTATAATTGGTGTTAGTTCTTTTCTACACGTGTGGTAGTGGAATTATCTAGATCTGGAGTCATTGGAGGTAGTAGCTGACTTTTTCCAGTTATAAATTAATAGCTGTAGGGGCTAATAGAATTCTCTACATTCTGTTAGATGAGGTGTCGTAATTTGATTTTTGAGGAAGTTGTTCATTTCCCTTTGTTGTTGTTATGTGCTGTCGAGTCACATGCGACTCATAGCGACCCTATGCATAACAGCTCTGAACCTTGCCCTGTCCTGAGCCACTGTTACTATTTCAACACACCTTCCCCCATTATCCCAGTTACTGTGTCCCTCCATCACATCCAGGATCTTCCTCTCTCGTATTGTCCCTCTACCTTTACAAGTACGATGTCTTCTCCAAGGATTGGTCTCTCATGGCAACATGGCCAAAGGATACGAGGCAGCTTCAAAATCCTTGCCCCAGAGTAGAAATTTGGTTTCACTCCCCAGGACAAACCTGTTTGTTCTCTTGGCAGTCCATGGAATGTTCAACGCTCTTCTCCAGCACCACAACTCGAAAGCATTGATTCTGTCATCCTTAGTCATTGTCCAGCTCTCTGCTGCATTGCAAGTATTGGCAAAGACCACGGCCTGGATCAGGTGCATCTTAGTCTCCAGGCTGACACTGTTGCACTTCAGCACTCTGGAGAGGTCCCTGACAGCAGATTTTCCCAATACTATTCATATTTGATTTACTAACTACTGGTACCAAGAGAAAGACCAAATTTGTGGAGCCGAGCAAATTAAAATTATTAATAATCCCAATCTCCACTCCCATCTATTGTGGTGCTGACTGTTGGCCCAGTGGTAAGAATCTTTGTTTTCTTGATGTTGAGTTTCAATCCATATTGAAGACTACAGTCCTTGACCTTCTGCAGCAAGCGCTTCAGACCCTCCTCACTTTCAGCAAGCAGGGTTGTGTCATCTGCATAATGCAGATTGTTGATGAGTCTTCCTCCAATCCTGATACCACATTCTTCCTCATACAGCCCAACCTCCGAATGATTTATTCTGTGTACAGAATGAAAAGGTATGGAGACCGGATGTATCCCTGATGTACTCATTCCTGATTTTGAACCACGCAGTGTTTCCTTACAGTGTTTCCTCTGACAATCAAGATGTCAAATTCACTGAGGAAATGTTCGTTTTCTCAATAAATGGTGTTCAAACAATTTGACATTCTTAAGTAAACGCTAAGACCCCCTGACCTTACAGAAAATTTAACTCCAAATTAATCCTAGATCTAAATGTAAAAACTATCAAACTTTAAGAAGAAAGCATAAGCGAAAAACCCTGTAGGACCTGCGATTACACAGAGTATTTCCAGGCAGGCACTGAATGGGATTTAGAAAATAAAAATTTACAAATTGGACTTCATTAAAATAAAAAACTTCTGCTCTGTGAAAGTCATCACTTAATAAAAACAAACTGTGGATTGGAAAGAAATATTTACAAATAGCATATCTGATAAAGGGCTTGTATCCTGAAAAATTATCTAAATTCACCTGTAACAGAGCCCAAACCCCATTTTAAAAATAGCAGAATATGTCATGGAAGAGGGACACTTGGGAAATAATCACCTAAAACGGCTGTCAACACCATTAAACTCAACTCCTTAAGCATCATTAGCCGCTCTCTCTCTCTCACATGCTCTCTCTCTCGTGCGTCCTCTCTCTCTCTCTCTCTCATAGCTGACCCTCCAGCAGGTTTTCAGAGGCTGTAAATCACAGGAGGAGACTGCCCATCTTTCTTCCTCAGAGGAGCTGGCAGAATTGAACCACCTGTCTTTGGGTTGGCAGCACACCTCCTTTCCACTAGACCACAAGCCTCCTCATTAGGCACTTGTTGTTATGTACCATGGAGTCAGAACTGACCCAGAGCTGCCCTGCAGCAGGTTTTCAGAGGCAGTAAATCACACTGGAGGAGACTGCCTGCCTGTGGAGCAGATGGTAAATTTGAACCATGTGCTTTTGGGTTGGCAGTGCAGCTCCTTACCACTAGGCCAGCAGAGTTCCTGTTGTTGTTAGGTGCTGTTGAGTTAGACTCATAGCAGCGTGTGAACACAGACCTGAACCTTGTCTTACCCTGTGCCATTCTCATCACCTCTGACACTTAAGTCCATTGCTGCAGTCACTACCTCTGTCCATCTCATTGAGGCCTTCCCCTCCTGCACTGACCTTGTGCTTTTCCAAGCCCAATAGCCCCTTTCAAGGCAATAGCTTCTTCTGGCAACACAGCCAAAGGATGAAAGACAAGACTTTGCCATCTTGGCCTGCAGAGAGCATTCCTGCCACACAGGCACTGGCTTGTTAGTGTTTGTTCTCAGCAGCTCAGCGCTTGTCTGTCCGACTGCTGTGCTGGTGTAACTCGTGGCGTGCTCTGCTGCTGCAGGCTACACCACCACTGTGTCAAACGCCAGAAGGGCTGCCCTTGGTGGGCAGGTTTCAGCAAAGCTCCTAGATTCAGACAGACTAGGAAGAAGGATTGGCAGTCCCTTTCCAAATTAACAAACCCGATGAACAATGGAGAACACAGGAGGAGCCCGTTAGGCGCGAGGGCCTGGAATTCAGACCACAATGTGATACTGCTACACGTTACAGTGGCCAGCACTGAAAAACTTGGCAGTGCCCAGTGAAGGTGAGCAACCAGGCTTCTCCTGCCACGCTGGTGGAGTGCACATAGTTGATTCACTCTGGAGAAGACTGCGCCACAGATCCTTGCCCAGCTAAGCACACAGTTATCCTATGACTGAATACTTCCACTCCTAGAATCTGTTTTCAGAAATGAAAACATATAGCCAAAAAAAAAAAAAAGATCTTAATTTCAGCTTTATTAATCATCATTAAAAATGGAAAACCACTCAGATAACCTTCAGGAGGGGAACAAATACGCAGCCAACAGCAGACTACTCCGTGAATGATGGGCCGATGATACTTGCAACAATTTGGACGAAACTAAAGGTTCTGTGCTAAGTGCAAGACACCAGCCTCAGCGCTCACAGCAAATGTTCCAAGAGCCCATTTTTGTGACCTTCTGGACAAGACCCAACAATAGTGACAGGCCAGGCTGGTGAGGACCTAGGTTATGTACGGGGGTGTGGAGGGTGACTTGTCTGCTCTGTACCCTGCTCTGACTGGTGGCTACCTCAGTCTTGGTCTGAGCGATATTTTATAGAACTGAACACAATAAACAGCAAAACCGTTAAAGAGGCCGCTGGGCCGGCTTGCCTTGGAGTGACCGCCTACGTCTCTCAGCCGTCTCCAGCTGTCTGCTTAGCTACGATGCCATAGCAGGGTGCTGTCTGCACTCAGGAGGCCCTGAGGAGGGCTTGGCCAATGAGACAGTGGCTTGTTTGGCCATCTTGACCTCAGGCCGAGCTATCCAGATAAGTTCTCTTTCTGTTGATGAGCTTCACAGGAGTGTGGCTGGGCCCATGTGTGTTGGACACGTTAATGCTTCCTTTCTGAGAGGTAGAAGGTGCGGCGTGGACAGTCCCCAGCTGGGGGGTGTTCACTAAGCAGAGGTAGTTGTACCTGTGACTTCAGGCACCTTCTGTTTGTCCCCTGCAGGAGGTGGTGGCACACTGGATTGCTGAAAGCCGCATTGCCATTGAACAGATTCGACTGTTGACCTTGAAAGCTGCCCACAGCATCGACACCGTGGGCAGCGCTCGGGCCAGGAAGGAGGTGAGACCCCTTTTCTGAGCCACCTTGAGTTCCCCCAGTCATCAGGTACCACCAAGGCCTCTGTAATCTCAGAGCCCCCCACCCAGCAGACACCTCAGGATCCCACCATATCAAGTCCCACCATCACGTACCTCCGTGTCTCCAGACATATCAGGTCCCCGCCCAGCAGGCATCTTCAAGCTCGCAACAATCTTGAATCCCCAATGTCAGGTACTGTCAATGTGTGTCCTGGTGACACTGGTACTATTGGAGACCGTCAAGCTGGATAGGGTGAAGGACTGTCAATCCATGTCACCTGCCCCTTCCCCTTCCACTGGGCTGCTTTCGCCTGTGGTTTCAGGGAGTGGAGTCTGTGAACTAAAAGGCAGGACATTGGAGACTCTCCACAGACCTTTGGTGGTGGTCTGACATGTCCCTGGTCATTGGGCTTCTGACTCTGGGCACAGGAGCTGGCCTTGCAGTCCCGAGGGGCCGTGAAGACCATGTGGACCATATAGCCCTGGGCTGCCTCCCTGTAGGTGTTTTCTGAAACCTCCCTCTCTGCTGTTCTCTTCCGTTCGGTGTAGAATGAGGAGAGGTGGTTTAGCTCCACTAGGGCCCTGAGGGGTTGGGGTGAGAACAGATCCGTGGAGACCCCAGCTCTCTCCAACTCATTCCAGAAAGCCTGCACTGACTGCATTGCCAGGCTGTCCTTTTTAGTAGCAAACAGTGTGTGGGGATGTGCCCTGCTGTGTGTGTGTGTGTGTGTGTGTGTGTGTGTGTTTCCTCAGAGGAGCTGGCAGAATTGAACCACCTGT